CAGATAATATTGCATTTTCCTTATACCTGGAAATCTTTTTTACTTTGGTAAATAGTAGGTTTAAGACAAGCTGTGGCACTTTGTATAGAGAACGTTAAAGAGATTAGAGTGAAAAATACTTTCCACTGGAACTTGAATTACTATAAAACAGTAATAACAGCAGCTCAACCCATTACAGGATGTTAGGCTTATATAGGGAAAAATGGCAGGGTTTTAAACCAGTTATTAATTTGTGCGAATCTTGTTTGTTCTGATGCTGTACGTGTGCACACCTGACTGCTAAGAGCAAATACTCCTTTCAAATACATTTGACGTAAACTGGCAGAAAATAGGATCTTCTGAATCAAGCTCAACGCCCTGTTCCATGCTCAGGCTGGGTGCTGGCTTTATTTACAGTACATACACGCTTCCTTTTGGCCTATTTGGCTTAATGCTTTTGTCGCTCTGCAGAATATGGTGACAGCAAAGACGTTATAATCTATGTATGCGCATGTATCTGGGGCTGCATCTTGCTCATGTTATGTGTTCAAACAGTGCTGTCTATTCTATCATCTACTCAGAAACCACAGTGAGCTGACGGAGGCACAACTGACTCTTATGTGTGTAATCAAAACCACAGAGGGAAATTTTGCAGTCCTGACTATTTCTTATATATAGGACAATTAAAGGAAGTCCACTCTGGCAGATAGCATAGATCTGCCTTTCTCCTACCTCTTCTCTGAAGCCCTTTCAAAGGACTTGAGACATACTGCTTGTTCTTCCTAAGGAGAATAGAATGTCAGTGCTGCTGGGCATGGGAATGGGCTGCAGAGTGTCTTTGCAGGAATCTGACTGGAAATCTCTGAATCCAGAGCATGCTCTGTTGCAAAACCTCAGCTGGCAGGTAGCAGCAGCAGCAGCTCCCATTTTCCCAGGGCTTCTCCCCTAGCCCCTGCCTCTTGAAAACAGCATGCCAGAGTGGTGGAGTGGCAAAAGCACTTGTAGAGATATCCTTTGTCTTTCCAGGATTTAGCCCCCACATTAGAATAGAATAGTTCAGTTGGAAGGGACCTTCAAAGATACGTAATCCAACCACCTGACCTTTTCAGCTCTAACGAAAAATTTAAAGCATATTAATGAGAATATTGCACAAGCATCTCTTGAACATTGGCAGGTATGGGGAAACAACCACCCCTCTAGAAAGCCTGTTCCAGTGCTTGAGCATCCTCAGGGTAAAGAAATTGTTTTCTGAAGTCCAATCTGAACTTCTCCTGGTGCAGCTTTGTTCTGTTCCCATGCATCCTGTCATAGTTTCTCAGGAGCAGAGCCCAGAAACTCCCTCTGCACTTCCCCTCCTCAGGAAATTGCAAAGAGTGAGGAGATCACCTCTCAGTCTCCCCCAGACTAGGCAACCCAAGTGTCCTCAAATTCTTCTTACAGCATATGCCCTCCAGCCCTTTTGCCAGCTTGGTTGCCCTCCTCTGGATACCTTCAAGAGCCTATCAACCTTCTTACATTGTGGAGACCAGAACAGCACACTATTAAAGGTGAAGCCATATTAATGCTAACTATAGTAGGAGAATTGCTTCTTTTGACTGGCCAGTCAGTGCAGGTAACTGCAGAATTTTAGTTGTAGAACAGGAAAATTACAATTCCTTCTTGGCAGAAAGAACAGAATTTCCCAAGGACACTGTCTTTTCCACTGCTTCAAATACATTGCTTTGACAAAGATGACTATTGTCAAACTCTGCTTCTTCCTGAGTGTTTCTCTTATTTAATTGTGAGATTCTCCATTGACTATCAGTTATAACCCACTGTGTGTCAGTATGCAATGCTGGTATCTTTTACCTGTCTCACAATAAATGGATGTCTGACTAGACATTCTGCACAAGTCTTGAACAGATTTTCTGTTTTCCAGTTCTCTACTGTGTCTCACTGCCTCTACCACACCTTATTATGGTAAAGTTTATCCGCATCAGAAGTGTTAAAAATAATTTTCTGCCTATCTGGTATGTACAACCCCATTCTAAATCCTGTTGAACACAGATTTTTTACTAGATTTACAGTAAATGTACTTTTTTTCCTATTCTCTGTAGTATATGTTCTTTTTCTTCCTTTTTATTTTTCCATATTATGTTCAAAGCTGGGTGGTAATACACAGCTCTATAGCTCTTACAAAATATGCTGTGTCACTGAGTATCCAAGAAGCTTGGAAACAGTCAACACTTGATTTCCCAGACCAACATCTGCAGATTTATGTGCCAGTGCAGTGAGTTAACATTCATCTTTGAAAAGCTTATGCATCCATCTGCAAAACTTTAGAAGCAGGTAATTTTGTACTTACAACTTTTACTTGGAGTAAGCAGATGAAAAAGAAGTAAGTGCCTGTGGATGTGAAGAGGAGGCAGTCCGCTAGACTTCGGAGTGCCTTTCAAAGGAAAGACTGAAGTTTGGGTCAGTTGGGGAAAGAGAGGTACAATTGTTCATTTGAGTAAGTCTTGCTTTTAGGACTGACTTTCAAATGAGCAAATATGAGCAGAAGTTCCTGCTCAGAATTCAAGTCTGGCTACTTTTTACATTCTCCTTCTCTGATGTGGAACACCAAGGACACCCAGTCTTGGATTTTGGCTCAGTATTCCCAGCAGGCAAGAGAGCAAGCTCTGTAACTTAAGACTTTTATGGAGGTTTTGAAGAAAAGTTTGAGATTGAGCGTGGGCTAAACTCTGTGTGTAGATGTATTGTTACCAATGTGCTCTGGGACATACCAAATTATATTGTTACTTGAGGGAACAATGATGAAATGTTTTGATGCAGCCTTTTGTCTTTCCTGTGCACTCCAACATGTTACAGCTTGTTTTAAGTAAGCTGTTACATAGGTTGGTTTTGTCTCTTGTCTGTGAAGTTCCTGTGATAGCACTGCGAAAGTAATTACTAAAAACCCTTATCTCATCTAGCTGGAGAACAGTAATGACTCCTGAGGAACTTAATGGCTCTGTCATGCTCAGATTTACTAAGTAGGTAGGATTGTAGTTATTGAAATGCAAGGACACAGATCTCAGTTTGGAATACTGCTTAATGCCATGCCTGTGGCTAAGTGGCATTTTGTGAAACATTTTGAGTGTACGTATACAGTTGTTCTAGTTGGAGTCTGTGTCTGCCAACAGTAGAACAACAAAGCTTCTTCAAGGGGTCTAAGAACTACTAACTCAGTGTTAGAATACTAGATCTCGGTCTTACTTTTCTGAAATTCAATCTTACTTTTCTGAAATACAACCTAACTGCAGTTTTTATTACCACTCTTCTCACACTTCCATTGCATTTCCAATATCCCAGAGACTAAAAGGTTTGTGTGCTTTGAAGTACTGGGGTGGGATGGATTTCCAGGTAAAGAACTTGAGTCTCATACTGACACGAGTATTGCTAGGGTAGAACAGAGCATAGCTGATTCTTGTGCTCGCAGCAAACAGTTTTTTGGCTTGGGGAATAACAGTCACAATATAGTAGAAGATACAAGTAATAAATGTTTTCATTTTTTCTGTTCCTGTTGATCCTAAGTTAAGCGTTTGATTCCCTGACCTGCTTTTAGTTAATCAGAGGAAGTTCCTTAGCTGTCAAGGTATCTACTCTCTTTGGTTTAGTAGTCCATTCGGAGAATTTTATCTTAAACTTGATCAGGTTGAGTAAAAAATATCTTTTCTTTCAAATGCACCATTTTAAAACAAAAATATATTTCTCAAAAATGTCTCGATCTAGAAATGGTTAGGCATGTCCTGTGTGAATTTAGATTTCCTTTCACTAATGAAACAGCCCTTTTCCAAGCACTTAGTTTCCTATCACAGAAACTATCATTTCCTATCATTTATCTCCTTCGTAGCTGAAAACTCAAGTTTTGCTCAGTGCATGTCAGTACAGAGCCGAGGAACTCTTTTCCCTCTGACTGGAGCACGTAAGCTATTCTCAGCATGTAACACAAAGATACCTCTGAAGTGTGTGTGGGCACATAATCAGGTAGAAGAGCTTTTGAAAATGCATCTGGTTTCGAATAAGGGACTTTATTTTTTCTGTAACCATTAGTTATGGAATTAGTTTGATGGCAAGATTTACGTTTACAGTGTGTTCTTAGTTCTTGCTTTGAAGTGCGGCAGCAAATGCAAAAATCAAACTGTCCATTGAATTAATCACCAGTGAATCCAGTTTGACCTTTTGCAAATGGCAGTACATTCAGTGCTAGCAGTAATGGTGATCTTGAGAGGGTTGTTTGTTCACAAAGTCAGAAGGAAGTCACAGAACTGGCTCTTTCTGGCCCCTGCCTGACCGTGGCCTCCAGGAAGCTCAAATAGTGAGGTAATGGGGACTCCGTGTCTGAACCATCTACCCTGTAAACTGCTCTGCCAGAGTTGGTAAAGTTGCACTGCAGCTTTTTCATTATTCTGACTGTTGAAAGAATCGATATGGCTTACCATATTCATGCACTGTGCTGCTAGCATTCAACTCGTATACTTTTCAGAGTACTTGAAGCTGGAGATGCATTAGGCCTGCCTGAGCTTCAGCTGGGCAGGCTGGGTGTCTATGCGTTTGTGTGGTATTTAGATTAGAGAGAAAGCTGGAAGGTCTTACTGTGAAAGACCCAGAACTGCTGCTTGTGAGAGGGGGAAGTACTCACACTCTGAGATCCTTGTACCCTGCCAGCTCAGGTGCAGATAGCCAGGCATGACAGTGCTACCACAATCCATTGTCCCAGCTGAGTCTCGGGGAAGAAGAGGTGTTGTGGCTGTGACTAGGCAAGCTGCTAACAGTTTTAAGTGGGACATCTTCTTTCTTTAAGGATACTCTGAGGGACATACCTCCTCCCATCCATATTTTCTGACAAGGTTTGGGCCAAGGCAGATCAGGCAAGTTCTGTGCATATTCAGCTGCAGAAGAAAGATGCCCTCAGAGTATCATATAGAGTACTTAAGTCAAATGTTTAAAATTAGACACTCTCTGTGCATTTCAATAACCTTTTCTTCTTTATTTTGTAGACCAACCTGAAAACCTGGATGTTAGGAATAGTTCCTGAGCCTGTGGGCAAGGCTGGCTAGATGATCCTCTGCATGGATACTTGCACTCAAGTGTGTTGTCTTTCATCAGGTCTGCAGGGAACAACAGTACTGAGACTTGTCAAGTCTGCTGCCCCTTCATCTCTGTCTTTCCCAGGTACACAGCTGTCAGAAGTTCTGTTTGCATAATACTGTCTTGTTCACCATCTTACAAGATGCAAAGAAGTGAAATTCTGTCTGTAATTTGTTACATGACTTTTTCATCAGCAGTTAGGAGTATTTTATCAGGTTAGAAAGTTTCATATGATATAATGGCAGGTTTCGATTTAGAGGTCCAAAAACATGAAAAAGAAATAAAAGTTTTTTTGTGGTTTTTGTCCTGATGAGCTTTGTGAAGTTACTTGTTTGTGCCCTTCTGGGCAAACTGCAAAACAGCCTTTCAAACTTGATAAGAGTATAGTGTGGAGCAGTGCCTTTTGAGCACAAGCTAGATTAAAAATAAACAAATAAATAAAGTTTAATCAAAATCAATCGTATATCACAGATGTAAATAGATTTGTTTAGAAAGTAGGTCAAAACTTAGAGCTTCAGATTAGCTTAACTACTTGCTTAGGAAAGTGTGTACCTATACCTCTAGTTATTTTTTCTACCAGGATATCAGATTTTACAGTGAACACAGCTATGTGATAAACACATATAGCTGCTGGCTGCTGACAGAGGGACATAATTCCACAAATGCCCTCTTATCTTCATTGAGGCTTAGGTAGATTCTCTCTTGTTCAGGCTGATAAAAATTGAGCTCAGGCACTCAACGACTAGAAGGAACATGGTTGTTAGGATGGTTTTCCACACATGCTCTACTCACATACAACACATGAGACTTAACCGCTCTGGCAATCAGGTGGAATATGCCTGTGGTTCTCTGGTGTAAATTGAGTACAATTGCTTGCTTTCGACATCTCGTTCTCAGTGTCTTGGATATGTTTAGAAAATGCTGGTGCCAGCTGGCAGACTGCTGGTGAGGCTGAATGCACAAGGCTAATGTTCTTTCAGTGGCATTTCATCCCCACCATCCTTTCATCCGTTCTTCTCAATTAAGATAGATGCTTTGCCTGCACCTTTTTTGCCTTGATTTTCTAAGGCTTGACTTTCTTTCTCAAGCCTCACCTTGACTTCTGATTTTTGAGGTAGGATTTTTTTTAACTCAGATTCAAGCAATTAGTTTCTTCTTTTTCCCAGCTAATTGCTCTTACGTTAGCTTCACTAATCCATAAGTGCCAGTAGTCTCTGAGATACTGGATCTCATTTAATTTCCAAAGAAGCAGAAGAGAGCTAAAACAAGAAAATGTCACAGCATAAACAGACAACAGAAGGGAAGAAAAAAGTAGATAAAACAGTTTCTTATCCTCCTACTTTACATTCATTCACTCAGCTATATCACATGTAACATCAGAGCATTATCATCTCTTGAAATTTACTTCTCACAAGATTGATAAGTAGACAATGTCCCCTAATTTGTACAATTGCACTAAGTCAGATATTCTGAGGAGAGAGATTGTTTTCCTGCCCAGCAGCTGTCATGGGATTAAAGGTTCCAATGTTTGTCAGTAAAGGTAGTCAATATTACTTCAATATTTTCCCTGAGAAAATAAGACTGTGAAATCAAAGCTGTATTTCAGGGGGAGGGAGGAGGAGGAGGAGGATTTTTAACACAGTATTTGTTTAAAAAATATGGAAGAAAAGCTTTGAAACTGTGGAAATGTTTCTTTGGATTTTCTTTAAATGAAAAGTTACATTTTTAGTTCAAGTGACTTTTCACTTAGGAATTTAAATTGATGTAAAAAAACCAGAGTGGAATGTTTAAAAAATCTTGAAGGATTTTGATTGACTTAATCTGTGTTGTATCTGGGTCTCCATTTGTGGAAAGTTTCATCTTTTTATTCTGATTCCATTATTTTCTAAAAATAGAGGACATATTGAGGAAACTTAAGTATTATAATACGAGCCATTGAGAGGAAGAGCTAATACCTCAGACTTGAAATTATATTACCCCATTTTCTTTAACAGGTAGAAAAAGAAAAAAGAATTTTGCACAAGTTCTAGTTCATAGCAGTAAGGGTAAAATATCTGATGTATGCAGGAAGTTTAGCTGAGAAGAGAAGAGCTCAAAGAATCACAAGACAATTTCCTTATTCATGTACAGATTCAGATACAAGCCCCCTTTGGCCAGCATGAGATGAAAAGTTTTTCCTTTTTTTTAGAGGTGCTTCCTGTTGCTTCCCAAATTAGCTCCAAATTTCAGAGCTGCTTTGGACTTGTGTTTGCTTTGAAGTGTGATAAGCCTTATTGTTTTCTACTAGTTAAATGAAAGGCTGATTGATTTTATCAATCTCGATCTTAGCTCAACCCTGAAGTTATCTGTTAGCCTAAAGAAAAATAACAACAACAAAAACAGAACAAAGGAGAAACAAAATATTGAGTGTAACATTTAGAAAACTTTGACAATAGCACTAGAGCTTCAGATTTCAGCCTTTGCTTTTTATAAATTCATACCAAATTCCTTGTCATTAAAGATGTTTTTGCCAAATTATTGTAGAATTGGAGAAATAATGTGATACATTTTTCTATGTCGGAGGCTTGGATGAGAAAATCTTCAATTCAGGTAAAAACAAACAGGACTGTAGAGTATCTTAATGCCTTGGGAGGTGCTTATAAGAAATGAAATGCCTCACTGCCAAAATCTGTAGCACCTCACTGTTCAGGCAGAACTCTGCAGTGGAGAATTCCGTTTTCAAGTTGTTGCTTGATATAGACAGTTTTGAAATACAGACTGTGGACTTGTGCATATATTTTTGCCGTTTATTCGGAGAATTTTGGTTGTACTATGCTATTTATTTGCAGATATTAGGATTAACTTGATATTTATAAGCCAATATTTGAAATATCGTGTCTTCAGACGTCATATGTACAACAATTGTTCCATCGGGACTGGTACATATATGTGCAACTTACACAGTCATTTCAAAAGATCTGAATAGGTAATTAGAGGAGACAGTCACGAAGCTTTAAATAAAATATTTCCCTTTCAAAACCAAGCTAAGTGGAATGGAATCTGTGTGATAGCTTGATTTGAACACATTTTTCATTTTTAATTAATATGTTTTAGTGTTCTGAAATTAAAATAGTTTTATGGAATGAAAAATTCCTCTGTGCTTTCAAAACAACAACAAAAAATCAATTCCAAACCAAATCTGAAGTAAAAATATAACAATAAAGTATTGCTGTTTTTAGAAATTAATGGAATATTACAAATGGTGTGATGGAAACCTCGTATTTTTTCATTCAGACAGTGTGTCAGTATTTTGGCATTTGTTGCATTTGAGACAGGAGTTTTTTAGAGGTCCTGTGGAGGAAACATTTCATTCTGAGTAGGAATTATAAATGGAGTAAGCATAGCTCTATGATTTATTCTTCCCAGAAGCAGTGACCTGGATGAGTAAGAGTGAGAACTTAAAACTCAATGACAGCGTATGTGAAGACAGTTCTTTATAAAGGTATTAATCTCTGAACATTGGTGTAGTCAAGACCCTATTTGGTTCATGCCTGCCTGAGGCATACCACATCCACTGGTGTCCTTGATATTCTGTAAGCTATTACTCCATAGAAAGATTGCATACTGAATCATTCTGTTGCCTGAGAGTCAATATTATGTGTGTCCCAGAGAAATGACAACATCAGCTGATAAACAGAATTTTAGAGGTGGAAGAGAGGGACAGTTTCTGATCAATCAAAAAGGTGAATACTAGGAAGTAAGAAACATACTTTTAATTGTATAAGTTTGGAGGTGGCTACCGGATCATGGATGCATAGATTGAGTGCAGTTTTCCTGCTGAATATATTCATCATTATAGAAAATTGTCTCCAATCTGTGAATGCTTTACAGAACTGCTTGAAGAATCGCAACTACGAGGACAATTGTTAAGTACATAAGGGAAGATATTTATGTTTGCAAGCCATTGCTCTCATGGAAAGAAGCCAGCTTTAGTGCAGTACTAATTATTAGCATAGATCTGCTTATTCTTCTCATATTAGTGTGTGTAATCCTGGTGAGAAATACTCTGAATTTCTTCTGCTCGTTGCCTGCGTAGTGGCTCTGCCATGGATGGGGTTAGGCCATCACAGCAAAGCAGACCCTTTTGTTATCTCTGCTAGTGAGATGATGCTAAGAGTTCCTCAGCCCACAGGCTGTCACATAGCCAGCCCACCTAATTCTCATCCTGCTGCTGTGGCTGGAAGAAGGTCTTGTGGTCATTTTGCCACAGCTACAAAATTTCTGCAGCAGAGGATGAAGCAGATGAATATGGAATTAATGCCTTCAATGCTAGGAGGAAAAGGTTGCTATTCCAAGATGCTGAGTACCTCCCTCCTCACTGGGAGCAGCTCATAGTGTTTACTACCTTGCAGGAACATTGCAGATCCAGCCAGTTAGTTAAAAATGCTAGTATTCTTGAGCGGTTTGACTGAAAATTGTGATTATTTGTATATTTGTAGATGAATAACTGATAGGCTACCATTTTTAGTTTAGAGAATATTTTGTGGTTTAATGGTTTCTGACAAGCAATATGAGCAAATGCTAAATTGAAAAAGGCAATAATATATGGAAGCTCACAAATGTGAGTGTCACTGGCAGCAATTCGTTCTTTCTTGTTTGCTGCCCAGCCACTTCTCATTAGGTTATTCTTCATGGCTTAAAGTCGACCAGTTCCAGGAACAAATCAATACCAGGGAAATCCTTTTGTCTTTTTCTAGGGCAAAACATGTAAAGAAAGCTCAGTCAATGTGTCTTTTAATAACATCTCATGGAAATGCCTGGATTTCCCTTCATGTTCTATAATTAATTGAGCTCCTTGCCACCCACAACGTATAACTGTTCCCCTCTATAATTCTCTTTTGGCTTAATTGCCATTTGTTTTTCTGTTCTATTTGTCTTTTGCTATTTCTTTTCTTTTTTTTTCCTTTTTTTTTTTCCTTTTTTTTTTTTTTTATGGTGTTGGATGTGCTTTGTACTTAGTTTTATCTTTCTGTGCTTTTGCTTCTAAATGTCAGCATAATTTTTCTGCCTTATAATATTGGAGATGTTATAACCATCAATCAGTC